CCCCCCCCCGCTCCCGAGACCGACGGGCCGGGCGCCGTCATGGCCAAGTACCAGCCCCGGGCCCGGCCAGCGGGCGTTCCAGCTCCCGCGGCCGACATCGTGAAAAGGCCACGCCCACCAGTCGGGCAGAGGCATGCCACAGCCACCTCCGCACCACCATGCCGAGGCCCGGTGTCCGGCAGAGAGCACCCCCATCGGCCCGACGGTGGGACCCCGGTCGGCACGCCCTCTGCTGCCCGGGTGCCGGCTGGCGCGCTTCTCCCGCGAAAGGGACACTCGAGCCCCACTATTCCCCATAACCATAACCCCAGGCGGCATGCGTCTTATGGCCCCTATGAAGGGCCCAGCCATGCCCCTCTCGAAGCACACCAATCAAGCGCTGTGTCGAGGGCCGCGCCCAGCGGCGTCTCCGTCAGCCCGGACCGGCGGTGTGCCCGCGCGCGGACCCATGACAGAGCACACCTTTGTCCGCCCGCATCACGAGGGAGCTTCCCCTGCCTCCTCGCATGGGCCGATGCTTCGGCCCTCGCGGCACGGCCCACACCCCCTCGGCCGGGAGACGGCGGTCACCCACCGACCCGGCGCAGGGCCGGCACGCACTTGACTCGCCCCGCTCGGCGGCACCCGCATATGTTGGCGCAACTACACACATACTCACAGAGAGAGAGAGAGAGACAGAGAGAGAGCCCCAGGCCACCGGATCTCATGGGGATGCCACACAACACCAGCTCGCGCCCTGATGCACAATGCAAATACCATACCCCCGTAAGGCCCGAGTCCCGCGCCGGCCAGTGCCCCCATGCCCGGGCCCCGGGGACCCCATCAAGGCAGGCGGGCCTCTTGGACAGGGCGCCACATGGCACACGTCTGCGAATGTCACAAAGGGCGACCGGCGCGGGCCCTCCCGTTCCGAGGGCCGAGGCTGGCGGCATGCATGGCCGGCCGGGGGGAGGGGGGCGCCACCAGGCCTGGCATGCCGGGCCGACAACCGTGGCCCCATGGCCCAGGCCCAGGCCAACAGCCGAGTGCGATCCGCGCACGCGCGCGCGCGCGCGCACGCCCAGACACCGCCAGGGGGTTCAGGACGATCCGGCAAAGGCCCCTCGCACATGCCCCCCCCCCCCCCCACCCACCCCCCCCCCCCCCCCCCCCCCCCCCCCCCCCCTCGCGGCGGGTCGGTCCCCCGCATAACATGGCCGGCGAGATGCACGCCCATGGGCGCTGCCGAGCATGGTTGCGGCCCCGGCACCGAACAAAAACCAACCAAGGCCCCGGGGAGGAGGGGTCATTCGGCGCCAGCAAGAGCGAAGAAGACACCGAGCCAGCGAGCGGCCCATCCCCCCCATGCGGGACATAGGCTCCTCGGCGCCAAGGCCGCCACGGCACCCCCCCCCCCCCCACACACACACACACGCACGCACGCGCGCGTCCAGCACCGCCTCTGGGCAGAGCGCAAGCCCCCGCACACCGGGGCACCGTGTCGAGAGGTGTACATTCACTCAAAGCAAAAAGAGCCGGCAGTGAGAGCACATATGGCCAGGCATATCCTCAAAGTGGCGGCTTGCCTTCGAGAATGGCAGGTTAGGATATGTGGCCAGGATATGCTCCACGTGAAAGGCCCGTGAGGCCGGGTGCCGCATGAAGTCCGGGGCCATAAACTGGACGCCCTGTCGAGCAGCGTGCAGTCGCAGCGAATTCACCACCTGCGGCAGGGCGCAGCCCAGGTCCGCCGCCACCTGGTGCAGCACCGGCCGCAACTTTTGCCCATGCACCGCGGCCACCAGGTCGGCCAGCTTCCCCTCCGGCACGTACATCCCCCCCGGGCCGGACCCGGCCTCCGGGCCCAGCGCCAGGAAGAAGTACTCCGGCGCATACCGGTACAGCATGTCGAACAGCACATCCGGATGCTGGCCCATCTCCGCGGCCAGCTCCCGCACCGTGAAGCGCATCCGCCGGCCGGACGGGTGCACCTGCTTCGCCAGCAGCCGCAGCCGCCGGATGTCCTCATCCGCCAGGGCGTACCTTTGGGATGCCCGGCGCGAGTCCCAAAAGCCCTCCGGCCATTCGAACAAGGGCATCGACTTCAAGATCGTCTGCTCCGCCAGGCCCGACCGGTCGCACATCTCCTTCCTCGACAGCATGGGCCGCAGCCCGGCCAAACTTTGCAGCCGGGTGTGGAGCCCCGGATGCACCTTCGGGTGCAGCAGCTGCAAGTGCACCCCCGGGCCGGACCCATGCTCCCGAGGGTTGAAGCATGCCACGCGGTAGTTCACCACCGGGGCCACCGGGGCCGGAGCCCCCTCGGCCGGGGTCTGGTGCACCGGCGAGGTGGCCGGCAGGAAGCGCCGCGTGTACTCGGCCAGCGTCAGCCGGCCGAGGCCCTCCGGCCGGGTAATCTGCCGCACCGGCCGGTCGTCGGTGATCGGAAATATCACCTCCGGCTCGTAGTACTTGATGTACCAGCGGAGCAGGCGCGATGACATCCCCATTGCCTTGGCCATTTCGGTCAGGCTGTGCCGGCGTTCTTGCAAAAGCCCGCGCAGCTGGTCCACCCTTTCCCGGGGCAGCTCCCCCTGCAGGCGAACCATGTACTCGGCGCACAGTTCCGGCCCGTACCGCGCGAAGACCCAATCACTGACGTCGGCCTGCTCGCGGACCATCGTCGGCGTGGCCATCGGCACCCGGATCCCCTCAAGCAGCGCGGCCCGCAGGGCTTCCAACTTTGCGGCCGGCATCTTGGGCACATTCATGTCCCCATACTCCGGGAAGTGCTTGTCGATCGCCAGGGACAACAACGGCAGGCTGGTCGACAGGAGCATGACCATGCTCTCCCTCGACAGGGCCGGCTCCACGGTCAGCAGGTGCCCCAGCCGGCCGATGCACATGTTCCGATCCCACACCGGCCTGGCCAGGATGTCCGGCGCATGCTCCGCCAGCATGGCCTCCACCCAGGGCGCCGGCATGCACAGCAGGTGCCCCAGGACCGGCAGCAGCACCGGCGGATCCCGCCGGACCAGGTCCATCATATCCTCGAAGATCGCATGCCCCGGGCCCACCTCCGCCAGGGGAACATCCGGCGGCCGCCGGGCCGGCGCAATGCCAAACTCCCGGCCATAATGCTCCAGCAGACTCAGCACCGATGCCCGGTCCATCCCCAGCAGCCGGCCCATGTTGCCCAAGTTCGTCAGGGTCCGGTGCTTCTGCGGGTCCCCGATGAGCCGCAAAAAAAGCCGGAAGTGCGCCACATCGTCGAACCCCTGCGGCAGGGGCTCCTCCCCGGCCTCGATGGCCCGGCAGAGGCGCTCCCCGGCGGACCCCGTGCCGCCGTTGGCCAGCGCCCGGGACACCTCGGTGACCGTGCCCCCGGCGGCCGAGGAGAAGGCCCGCGCGTGCAGCGGCGACAGCCCCGCCGGCGCCCTGGCCGCCCTCGCGGCCGCATGCATGTGCCCTGTCTCCGGGGACGCCGGGCTCCGGGCGGCTGGCGTGCCGCGCCCGGGCAAGGACCCGCCCCGCCGGGCGGCCAGCAGCAATGCCGGCGGAACCCACAAACGTGGAGCCCGACCGGCGGCCCTCGAAGCGAACATCCGAATGACACCCGAGCGAGGAGGGGAGAAGGCAAAGGCAGTGTAGAGAGAGAGAGAGAGGGGGGGAGAGAGAGAGGGGGGGGGGGGAGACAGAGCGAGGGAATGCCCAGCCGGCAGGGCATGTTGCCTGCAAGGGTGCCCGCCCTTGAGACTCCGGGCGGCTCCGAGAGGGCAGGCCGGCTCGGGGAGAGGGCCGATGCCGTGTCCCCGGGCGGGGGCGCCCCGGCGCGTCCCGGCCCCATCGGCGGGGCCGCAAGCAGGAAAAAGAGAGGGCGCGTCCGTTGGGGGCTCGCCCCGGGCCCGGGGCGGCATGTGCGGCGATCACATTTGAGCTGTGGCGTGATCGGCGCTCGGCAGCTGCCCGCCCGCCGGCCCTCGCGCTGCCGTGCATTGCCCAGCCTCCGCCCGGGGAGGGGGGGGGCGCACGGGCAGACATGCGCCTTGGGCGGGGCTCCCCCCCCTCCCCCCCCCCCGGCTCGGCATGGCCCCCCTCAGCCACTTGGCCCGCATGTGCCCCTCCCCCCCGGCCGCGCGCAGGCACACCGGCACGGCGGGGCCGGCCCGCGCGGGCGACGCCCTCTCCGTGCCTCCCGATGCCCGCCGTGGCCGCCCCGAGGGGGCCCTCCCCTCCTCGCGCTGCCGCCCCCTTGCCCGGGCGTGTGGCGGCCGGGCCCGCCTGTCGTCTGCACCCAATTGGGGGCCCTGCCCCTTCTGCCCGGCGGCCAAGGTGCCCCCATTCTGCCGGATGCCGGGCGTGGTGCAGGGGGCCCGGCCGCCGTGGTGCCGCTGCCCCTGAAGGGAGGCCTGCCTGCCGGTGGGGGGCGACCGCAGGCGGCCAAGCGCCGGCACCAGGCCCGGGCTCGCCGCTCGCCGCTCGCGCTCCCTCCCCGGCGCAAGCCGCTGCGGGCGCGCGCAGCCTGCCATGGCGGCACAAGCCGGCCTCGCCGGAGCACGCCAGGCGCGTGCGGCTTTCACGCGCGCGCGCGCGCCCTCTGACACTCTAGACACACGCACATGCACACCCACACAGGATGCAAGCCACCGAACGCGGGACGCAGGACGCCGGTCGGCCCACACGCCGATCGACGCCCCCGTAGGCCGGTCGGCCCAACCGGGCCACCCATAGCCCGAGGGCTGCCCGCACGAGCAGCTGCTCCGGCATGCATCCCGGGCACGGCCATGGGGCCCGGCCCCGGCGGCCACCCCCAACGCCATGGGGACAGCGCGGGCACACATGCGCCCGGCAGGCACTCGCGGCCCGCCTCCCCGGCCGGGGCTTGCGCGGCCGCCCCTTGCCGTGCATGTGCCCGTGCCAATGCCCCCCGCGGAGGGGGGCGCCCGCGCACGGCCCCGACAAAGCGGGCCCCAGGCACAGGCCCGGGCTGCCGGTGCCCCTGGATCCCGCTGGGCCACTTCCGACGGGGCCCCACGCGCCGGCCACACACCAGGCCCAAGGGCGCTCCCCATGTGCCAGCCAGGGCAAGGGGCCGCCGGTCCGGACAAGGGGCCCCATGGCCATCCTTTCCCGGCCCGAGGAGGACCCTCATGGCCGGGCTAAAAAAAAAAAAACCCGCCCGGCCTCCGGGGCGAGGCGCCGGCCAGCCCCCTGGCGAACCCCCAGCCAGCGGGCCGTGCCGGCTGGCGGCCATGCCCCGCGCAAGGGGGCACCCGAGCCACCGCCGCGGGCAAGCGAGCATCCGCACGCGGGCCCATCCTCAGCACCGGCCGAAACCCGCCAGAGCAGCATCTCAGCAGGGACCCGCGCAGCCGGGGACCCGGCCTTTCGTCGGCACTGCGCCCGCGGAGAGGCCCGGCGCATCGGCCCCCGAGGAACATGGCAAAGTAACCGCCCCCGCCCCCGGGGGCATGGGCAGCGCGCGAGGGGGAAGCGCCCGCTTGCCTTGCACCATGCACCTCGCGGGTGGGACCGGCCCCCCCCCCCCCCCCCTGGCGAAGGTAGCTGCTCGACACCGGAGCAGGGAACCAAAACCAAGCCCCCCAACGAGAACGC